GTGAAATGAAGAGCAAGCAACATGCGATGTGCAGATGATCTTCTGAAATCAGTGGCTGCTTTCCATGCTGCACAAATTTATCAATACTTACAAACAGGGCATTGGGTTGGTTTTATTTTAAAAGAAAATGAAAAGCCTCCATTTATTCTCGTAAAAATCATATGTATTAGAAGTAGTAAATGTACCTAACTTTTCTTTGCTTCTTGAAGTAGTTAATTGCCTTATGGTTAAAAATCAGGATAATGAGTTACTTGTGTTTAACATTTCTGAAAGACTGTGTGAATATTATTCATAAAAAATGAGTATACAGTAAGTGCTGTATTTAAACAACAATGTTGTTTCATTATTTGTCTCTCTCACACACACAATGATAATTTGTTTCAGATCAGTGTCTTTGGCAGACTCCAACTTTGGACAGGATTGAAAAACAGTTCCCTCTTGTTTCCAGAACGTTTCTTTCTCTAATGAAGGGTTTTAATAACAGGATCATTAGTAAGGTGATACTGTCCATAGCTGTGTTTCCTCTTGCTGCTATTTACACAACTGTAACATGGATATGGAATAGCACAACTTTTACTGTTTTATTCGGTCTGTGTTAGAAAAAATTGCTACACAAGATGCAAGGCAGAAGTAAATCAGGCTTTTTTGAAATCCTGTCCTTGGCTGAAAAGTCATGGAAGTGATTGCCACCTACAATATAAGCCACAGATACAACTTGCTGCAATTAAGGATTCACGGTGAATATATTGTCTCAGCTGGAGGGAAGCTTTTGTTTCTCCATCCCCACAGTACATTCTTCTTGGGTTAAATAAAGGATTATTCTCTGTACTGCGTCAGGATGGGCTGTCCACCTGTCCAGCTGGTCTATATCTGTCCCTTGCTCATCACATAAGCTCCTGTCCTTTTCAGAGAAGATCTACATATCTTTAAGCATCTGCAGAGTGGGAGTTTACCAGCACCAAAATATGCAGGCATGGTTGTTAGCAGGTCAGTGTGGCATTAGGCTGCCTCAGACCTGTATGCTTGCCTTTGCTCTTCTTCCTTGAATGGCATCTTTCCCTTGTGTCATCTGAGGTCATGCTCATTGTTTTTCAAATTGGTTTTCAAATTGTGGCTTTTAATTATAAATGAAAAGACAATGTTAGCTTGCACATCCCCTTGTGTTTCAGCATGTTTATGTTTCCTTCTTTATTTCCCAACCTGAAATTATAGAGCTGGTTCTGGTGCATTTCAGTGGCTAAGATCAAAAGCAGTCCAATGCCTGCAGCTCACAGGATGTAACGGTCTGTTTGAGAGGCATGCCAGTGCCCATGAGCCCGCAGGAACCACCTGTGGATGGAAATCTGAAGTGTGCCTGAAAGAGTATATGTGACAGCTATGTGGGTGGTTGGGGCAAACTTCAAGTGCTTGATTCCCAGAGAGTCTTAGATTTTTTGCCAGGACAGACCAGAGTTAACTCTAACAATCACAAAGGTTACTTGTCTACATTTGAGGGGTTAATTACTCATGAAGCTGACAAGTTCAAGCTCTATTTGTTGCCTAGCAGACTTGCTTTATGTCGAGCCAGTGCAAAGCAATCTCTTAGCAGCACCCTTGTTTCTTTTCCTTTGGGGACCACACAGGTACCTGTGCTGGCCTGAATGCATTGACAATTTTTACAAGTACCAAACTTATTGATGCATTTATATTGGAGGCTTACTATAGATTAAAGGTGCTCATTAGCACCTGCATATGTAGGAGAAAGAGAACTGGAAGACACACAGCCTTTTCCACAACTCTTTAGACACACCTCGAATACTTGTTCCTAAGCAGGCATTTCTGCCACTTCCATGTCAATAACGGCTCAGCAGTTTACTCTGAAGCCACATAGTGACTTCTTATTCCCTCTAAAGGTCTGTCATTGCACAGATAAATAATGCGTCTTGGATGGTTTATGTTCCCTGTGTCAGTAAAAAGGCTTCCTAAGCATCAGGAGCCCACAGGAGTTCGAATGTTCAAATCCCCAAGTATCATCTTTGAGTAGGTATGCGCTAGACTGGAATTACAGGACAGAAACAGAGTTTCTGAATACAAGCCTTTCCTGCAGAAGCTTGTTAGGATTTCCTCATAGTGGCAGGTTCCTTATCCTATAGATGGACTTGCCAAGAGAGATTTTTATTTTTTTTTTATTAGGTTGGCATGCAAATGTCAAAAGGAAGTACCTGAGGGAGGGAGGGAGGAAGAGGCAAGGCAGAGCGACATGTTTTATTTTTATCCTAAAATAACACTCACTGAATTTAGTACAGTGAAAAGCGCTGTCTTGGGCTTGCTCAGAGGTTGTCTTCTGTCTCCACAAACCAGACAGTGGTGACAGTGCATTTTTTTTTCTTTATTTTTAATATGTGAATCAGGAGAAAAGAAAAATGCATTAAATCTCACATGTGTTTTCTCATTCTGTCTTCTGGTACCGTGATGTAAATCAAGAACGCCTTCTTGAGGTCAGTGAAGTTAATTCAGTATAAAATCAGTGCGGTTCTGTATCAGTGTGATTTTTGCAAGGTGTGCAATGTCTTGTAACGGTTGATTAACTTCTTTATTGGAGTAAACAGAATGGTTTACTTTTAATTTTTGAGTTTCTGTGGTAGGTAAGTAGCCAGAAGGACAGAGGATGCTGTAAAGATTGCTTGTACAGCATGGTGGCGTCCCAGAAGTTCATGGTTAAAACCCTTCTATGACTTAATGACAGGGTGCTTGAGGAAGAAAAAAGGGAAGAATAGTTTAGAGATCAGCCAGGATCAGTGGGACAGATGTCTTGATTTGGGAGCAACATCTGAAATCAAAACCTGAAGTGTGAGATACGAGAAAGAAGCTATTATATTTTCTTCATGGTGAAGGACCAGTTACAAAGAGCAGTTGTTTGTGTACCTTTGTTGACCTCTGAAAATAATTGGTCTGCAGCACATTACACTACAGCACAGTGCACAGATCCAGGGAGTCTAGCTATAAAGGACTGAGCTAGAAGTTCTGCTGAGATTTCGAAGTGTAACTAAAGGCAATGTAGTGAGTGATGTGGTTGTGCTCTAAGAGTGATGTAAGGCTGTGATTTGTGCTGGGATCAGGAAGGAAGCAATCAGCACAGATTGAAACTGTGCACGCTTTCGACAAGCTATGTGGCCAAGTAGCCACTATCCAAACACAGAACAAAAGCAAAGAGAAGAAGCATAAGTATGGCTGCAGCTGCTATGAACGGTGACAATTGAGCCAGTAGTGCTGTGGGTATATTATAAATTTATAGACAAAATTCAGACATAAGAGTGAGCGTGGCTGGACATTGTAGCATCTTCCCCCAGCTGTGCTTAGCCACTTCAGGCGGAGGACAGGCTATAGCTATACAGTTTCAAATGGATTTGTCACTGTGCTACACTCTTAATTTTTGTGACTTGTTTATGTCACAGCTGAAAGTAAAGATGTCAGCATTTAACCAGATGAGACTTAGAAATTATGTGATTAGAAATATACAGAACACTTGAGCACACCATAAAAGAGATGTGACTGGAAGCGAGTTGGGATTTTATTTCTCTGCATAATAACCAGTGATTAATGGTTCCAAATTTATGATTAACGGTGTAGCAAAATGATGGACAAGTTATCTGCAGGAGATTGCTAGAGTCCCTGATGAAACTCCAGGTTATTTCACTGAGGACAGTTTACAGTAAGGCAATAGTTTATATATTCATCCCTTGATAAGAATTGTGAAGTCCTGTGCTCATTGTTTCACTGGACTACAGATCTGTTTTGTTCAATGTGCAGATAAAGCAACATGTTGGCTTTGGGTTTGCATCAGGGGATGAGATCAGGATCTTAACTGCAACCCAACCTAGGAGCTGTGAGCTGAGTTAGACCTTTTCTTACTGTAAGATACCATTGTTCATAAATGCTCTGCGAAGCCCAGCAGGTCACAATGACACCAGGGAGGTGCCATTTTTTCTTACTTCAGTTATGACAGAATTAAACTAAATAGCAATTTGGTATACTGTGTGTGGAGTGGGGTGGGATCCAGCCTGTCAAGTGCATGCGTGACATGAGTGAAAGATGAACCAAACAATATCTCACTGGAATGACACCTACAAAGTACCATTTTTCCAGGTACAAATTTTCTTAATGGCAGTAAGAGTTGAGAGTTCAGTGGACCATCTTAAACTCACTTGTGAGAGATACCTCAATGTACTTGCATGAAAGTCAGCAGATTTAAATAAAAGTTTTGCAGAAGATATTGCTTGCATATATGTTACTTACCTCTTTTAATTCTTGGAGGTTTTTTTCCATATTTTGGTGATAGCTCAGACATCCTGATCCTGTTGGGGATATCCATATCCTTTTGCCAATATAATCATGTGACAGCACTCGTAAGTTATTTGAGGACAAGAACATAGTAAATAATAACAAATGAAAAGAATTTCAAATTGTATCAGCATATGTTGATGTTCCTCCATGCCATAATGGCATTCATCACAGCATTAACTTTATACAGCAGAGTAAATTCAAGCAGTAAGGGAAAGCATAATTAAGTACCTTTTTATGATCATGAAAGCTTTGGAAGGAGCTAGGAAAATGTAGAGGCAATGTCTACACTGTGGACATTTGACCATTTATTTTTGTTGATTTCTGAGCTTTTTTTGATGTTGGGTGTCAGCAAAAGCCCTCAGCCTACTGCAGTTAAATTGGCACAAGTTTACTCCTTATTGGTAGAACACCCATTGAGTGGGGAAAGCTGGAAAACAGTGCTTCAACGAAAATACAGCTTTAGTGGCAGAAGCTGCAGCAGCATTAAGGATGTCCACAGCTTCACTGCCAAATGGTCACAATGTGGGCTGCAGGGTCTTTACTCACAAGACCTTATCGGCTGGGAGAGGGACTACTGAAAGTTGCCAAATGCTGGGTGGCATCCTAATAGCAAAAATCTCAACAGCAACTGTCTCTAACCAGTTATTTCTTTCTGTTTTGCTCTGTTTCTCCTGCAGGGCTTGTGAAGTTGGGGGTTCACTGTGTCACATGTCAGAAGGTTGCTATAAAAATTGTCAACAGAGAGAAGCTCAGCGAGTCGGTGCTAATGAAGGTAATTTTCTAATGGGAGATTTAAAGAAAAAAATTAAGTTCTTGGCTCTGTGTCTTCTGTTCCATGCAAAATTAATATCTTTAATTATGTATAACAAACATCCTTGTCAGTACATGTGGAGCGTGATAACAATAATCTAGTTATGGGGGAGGCTAGGGCAGCTGAAATTAAATGGAAGTATTCTTGTGCTGTGTGAACAAAATAAATGGTCAGCTGCAGCACTGTTGCTTCTCTGCTGGGGCAGATGCGTGTAGGGCACCTGACATCCACCTTGCAGCAGTGCATAATGATTACAGTACCTTGCAGACTGAGGTGTACAGATGTCAGTAGGAAGAGATTTAAAAGAGGCTGGTGAAATCTATTGTTTAAATACTCCTACTGCTTGCTCTACTGCATGGGTTCATTATGATCTGATGCACCAAAGTCCATGACTGTTTAAAGCCATAATTCTGTTTGCAATCCACAGAGCTGTGCCATTGGAATCCATCAAAGAGTCTATCCCAATGACTGCAGTGTTCAGAAGAACTTAATTCATTTTTTACCTAGTGCTGCAATACCAATCTCCTTACACGAGTGTCATTGATTGATCTTGGAAACCTAAAAATAAAATAAATATATGCATAAAGTTTACTCATGTGATTTGGTGACTAGAAGGGCTAAATTCGGCTTGATGGGAGGGAACACAACTGTACTGCTATCAACAGAATTTCATCAAGCTGTCTCCTGCAAATGATGCTAACATGTCTGCATGCAGCGTAGAGCACTTAATTAATGTAACTTTCCTATAAGCAGATGGAGCATATATCTTTACACTGTTGTTTCATATATGTACTTGTGTGTCAGCTGTTTTCCAGCACAAGTAAGTATAGCAATCTTACTACGAGCAGAAAGAAAATTGAGATTAAAAAAATATGCAGTCAGTGAATGTTATTCATACAATGTAAGTTTGTTTTTCCAGAGAAGGATTCTTTAAGTTTAAACTCAATTGTAGTGTGGTGAGACTTACATTTCTGGAATTTCATTGAAGTATTCAATGCAGTACTGTGGATTCAAACAGTCTTCTAATATAGACCAAAAGTTAGAAAGTGAAATAGGTAAGAAAACTGCAACTTTGAAGGGAGATTGAGCAGATGAATGGAACACAACAAAAGCAAAGTGTGTAATGGTAAAATCTGAATGAGTCTCTAAACACTTTGAATATTTTCCAGAGTAATATCATAGGAATATCGTCCAAAAACATGAGCATTTGTTTGCTGAGAGATGCTGTCTGATATCTGTATAAAACATTTTATTTACCTCATTGATTTTTGGAGTAGGAAGCAAATCATTTAGCATAGCAAAGTGATCTCTCTGCTTTGGTTGTGTTGTATTTGCTCAGTTGTAGTATGAAATCTGAGTAGAGAAATGGTGTGTTAGGCCCTTGTTTACATAGCTGCATGCTGAAGCGTGCCGTGTTTTCTGTCAGGTTGCACAGCATCCTTCTTGGGAGGATCACCTGTTCTAGTGTGAGTCTCATTTTCAGACATTTTTCATCAGATTTTTCTCTTTCAAGGATTCTGTTCTCTGTGCTCAGGAGGTTGGAACAACAGATGGGATTGGAGTGGTTTGCCCAGTTCTTGTATAAACTCAGTAACCAGATGCCTTCAGGAATACCCTGTGTCTGATGGTCACAGACAGGGCCTGAGACTTCTAAGTGAATTTGGAATTGACTGTGCTGTTAGCCAGCTTGATCCAGCCTGTCTGATGGGGAAAAATGCTTGCAGCTTTTGGCAGTTCCAGTGTGATCATTGCAAAGCATCCAGCTGACAGCTTGCTGCATGGAGTCAGCAGCCACAGGGAAATAGCTAACAGTGAAGCCAAGTCATGGTGGTGTGGTGGCATTCCTGCTTTGTAAATCTCCCCACAAGCTTATCAGTTCCAGTAACTCTCTTTGCCAGTGGGCTGTGCAGAGCAGTCCCTGGAGCCAAGTGATTCAAGACCACAGCTACTCTCCTAAACCAGGCCCAGATTGTGATGGATTTTGCTCTAATCCATCCTTGGACAGAAAACTGGATCTGACAAATACACACACCTGCTGCACAAAGCTGTAGCACTGCAGTGCTGTGGCCATTTATCCTAGAGCATAAGGAGGAAGTCTGCTCATGGTCCTTTCAACATCTAAAATGACAGGCACAAGCATATACTGCAGGCTGCTTTCTCTGCCATCATTATTCCATTTTGACTTGCTTCTTACAGCCTGCATTTCTCCAATGTTTTTGCAGTGTTTTTTTTCTTTATGTTCAGGGAACTGTCCCTTCTTTTTGCAGCTGCTCTTCATCTGAGCTGTGCAGAATTGAGAGGCATTTGGTAAAGTGCTTTCTAATCATAATGTCATAGTATCGATATTTCTGGAGAGAAAATTTTGGAATTGAAGCAGCTGGTCTCAGCAGAACTGCTGCTATGGAGATAATACACAGGCAGGCACGATGCAGCACAGGCTGCAGTAAGTGTACTATCCAATCACTTGCTGCCCTGTCAAAGGACAGGGCTGCTCAATGCCCATGTGAGCTTTCTCCTTTGTCATGCCCTGACTTGCTAAAGACAGGCTGGGAAGCAGTGTTCCTTTCCCAGCTCCAGCTTGGGCCTGTTTAGGAGCCTGGTTTTGGGGCAAAGCTACAAATGTAATTTCACAGATGAGAACAGAAGGGCTGGTTCTGTTCTCACTCCTGCTTTCACACCACTGGGGAAAGCTTCAGCTGTATTTCTTCAGCCACACTGGTAATCCCCCAATGATGTGGAGACCTGCCTCCCACAGTACCTCTAGCTTGCTCTAGCACAAATTGGCAGAAAGATTTCAGGAAGGAGTGCATTATAAGGAGTGTCCTGAGATTGAAACAGGGTTCATTAATTTCCCTGAATTACGTCTGGATAGCGGAGAAGGATTTTAGGCCCATAATACAAAGCTGAATGTGTCCGTAAAGCAGTAAGCTTTCCTGAACAGGGAGATTCACTATTTATTGGTTGCCTTTTCAGTACCAGCACAAGCATTTGGAGTTTATAACTTCAGAATATAAAGGTTAAAGCAAACCTTTCCTCTGACATGGCAAAAACTTGTTTAGAAACATCGAGGTGTCTCATGAGATGTACTCAAAAGAGTCCTTTGCTCTTTACCACCTCACCAGTTCGCTTCTTCTCCCGCCTTCCAAAGAATAAACAACAAACCTACTCTTTTGGTGAACCATCAGATGAAGTACTGTTTGGACAGCCACTGGTAGTAGAAGCAGTGGGAGTGTAAAGGGGAAGAGCAAGAAGGGAACAGCTGGCCTTGGGCAGATTACTTGAACACACAGGCATCTTGAGAAAACCACAGTTGTGTGAGGCTTGATGAGTGAAGACAAGAGCTCCATATGTGTGCTTTGTGTCCATATGCCTTTTGTTTCTTCTGACCAAGTTGTCCAGTGCTGGCCTTGAAGTGAGTCAGGTATTTCCAGGGTGGGGGATGAGAAAAGACAGTCTGCACATTTTTCTCATGCAGGTTGATTGAAACATGGTGGTGGGTTTGAGGGAGGTTGCTGGTTGTTTCAGTGGCTTGTGGTGCTAATGAGCTCTGCTTCCTGAAAAATTCTGCAAAAGGTATAGTGTGTGCTCTTACGCAGAGAGGACCACGCAGTGATCACTGTCAGACATCACTGATTGTCTGAAATAGAGTGGAGGGATAATTAACAGGATCAGCGTCTTGGAACTGCCAGGATAACTTACAAAAGCATGCTTGTAAACAGGCACTGCTTCACATGGTCTTTTTGTATTATTTGCTTCTTCCTGAGTTTCTATTTCAATAGCAACTTACTTTCTTACTACCTTGTCCTACTTTGAGTCTTTCCTGCCTTATCCATTTTCTTTCAATTGTTACTTTGCCTTTTAACCCCTTTCATTCTTCTTTTCTCCCCCATGGTGATTTCTTCCTTTTTCTCTGTCTTTCCCCCTTTTGCTACAGAAAGTAATATAATAACTGTCATTGTTTTGCTGAAAAAACTGCTGAAATGCAGCCTGTCTGCTTGAGGTGCCTGTTCTTCAGGGAAGAAGATTAGAAATTGGGCACAATTCAGAAAGTAACTGAGAGAGTAAGTAAACAATCCCAGCTCCTAATTTATGAGAGACTCAAGGGTCTCAATCTGCCTACTTTATTAAGGACAAGGTTAAGATATAACAATCATGGTCTGTAAATACTGATAAGGAGGATAGGCATTTAATAATAGAGGGTATTACAGTCTTGGGGGCAAAAATCTTTTTGGAAACTAGTAGTTGGAAGCTGTAGGTAGACAGAAATGTAGAAATACTAGGCCTGTTTAATTACTGGATAAAGTTACTGATTGGAACAAGCCCCCTGAAACTCTGGTGGGTTTTTTTTCCCTCTAAAAGACTATTAAACTTAATCTTAAACTGCTATGTGTTTTTCTAAAATCTAGATCCTAGTTGAGCTTCAGCTGCTGGACTTGCAGCAGGAAGTAGTTGAAGATGGTAAGCTCTGACTAGATTAACACAACAGCCTCTCTGGCCTTAAAGTTCATGGAGCTGTGAATTTCTAATCACTTATTTCTGTCCAGAGCATAAAGAGAGGTGTTTGTGCAAGGTGTCTGCAGATGCAAAAATTTAGGGTCCCCCAAGCAAAGTTAAAAATGGGAATACTTGAGAGCAGCATCTTTGCTTTGTAATACCTCATTTTCATTCTTTTCAAACAAATGACCTGGCTGTCCTCAGCTGCTGACTGGAGGCCTGGTCTACAGAAATCATTACCAGAGTATCAAAACAGCATCAGTGAGAAGCTAAATCTGAGACAGACACAGAAATGGACTGAATAGTGTAACTTGGTTCAAGTTCAGCTTTGATCATAAGAAGGACAGTTTCCCTGACATTAGTGAAGCCAAACTCACGAACTCTTAGCCTGCATATGGCCAAATCAGTTTTTTTTCTTAATGTATTCAGAAGTAGCCTTATTGTTTTCCAACTGCAGTGTTCAGGAC